CCAACTCCATCCGTGCTGATAACCCTTTCCGTCGTTGAACGTCATAGGTGTTTAGTTTTTACTTTTTACCGGCACCTGGTTCTTGTACATCATGGATGACCATGGTTGTTGGCCTTTGCGTGTGTAGCTCCTCAAAATTTTTCTTCACTGATCAGAGGTGACCTGGTCTGGTCCTTGCGCTGGATGACCTCGTTGTAACCAGTGTACGCTGAAAAAAGATGAATCCTCCGGCCTCCCTAGCCGAGTTCAGTGTGACCAACACCGGCATCAGGTTTACCTGAAGGTGGCCGGCTGCCTTTATGCAGCCGATACAGTCTTACTTCCACTCCTAGTGTTCAGAACGAGGCGGGCCACTGCTGTCTGCCAAAAGATCCTTTCTTCCCAAGAAGACTGTCACTGCACACAGTAACACTAAATAGGGTGGAAAACTCAGTTGGCAATCGACGCTTTCGTTGTCACATGACGTGGGTTGGCTTTCATCGAAAAGCTACTCCTCCTTTCTCATTCTTGCCCACTGCTAAGATGTTCGAACGTGGTTGCGGCTGCAGCAGTTCCAGGGTTTGAGACCAACAGTCCTTTGGCCATCTCTTCACTACTATAACCATCCTTGGGGGCGTCACTAACTGCTTCAGTTTTAAGACTATCCCTCAGTTGGTGGTTTGTGCCTGTGCTCATATTCGAAAAACCACGAGAGAGTCGTCGACATCCCCACTGGGAGCATCTGTAGCTGGAAGTGGTCCCTCCTGCACTACCGACGCGTATTCTAGAATCACAAACATGTGTGGTGGATCATGAATGTGTAATGTCGGTTTGCTACATCCTCATATTATGACAGTGAACCCGCATGTTACAAATATTACACCCAAGGTCTGGGTCCACCTTGGCTACGAAAGCCACGTGTGTGGCTATCTTGTCTACGGTCACAAGGTGTTGTCGAGAGTTTCCTTCTCGTTCTCCATCATTTTCTCCCAGCACCCTCAGCAGGTGGATTGGGGTTTGAGCATGCGAGCTTCATCTGTAGCTATCACTGCGAAACAGATGGTTAGTGACCGCGGTAAAGCTAACTTTGATGTGGGTTTGGTGTCCTATTTAACCAGCGCACCATCATTATGCTTGTCAGCAAGTGAATAGGGGAAAAAACATGGTAGAAGTGGACGAAAATGCGCAAATCAAGTGAGAAGTGTACAAACTACCATACGGTTTTTAAACTTACTTTCACCTGTCTAGTCTCACGAATATGATGAAGACCAGAAGCCGCCCAAAAGTTCACATTGTGTTATGGTTAGGTATGTACGATGTGCTCACAATAGCCGGAGCTATAGCAGCTGACTGAGATGGATAGGACTGTTTATAATTGTCCGTTCGGAGACTGGTGGCAGTGGACAAGTGAGGACTGTGTATCCGACGGACAGTGTGAAACTGTTGATTTGTGACATGAAAGTTTTGAGCGAGTGGTAATTTCGGGGAAGATAGGAGATGAGGTAAAACACGCCAGAATTCCAGGAACGAGCATCAAACGGAGTGTAAGATTCATTTTCGCTTTCATGCAGCGTGACTCAAATCCCTATTCCAACTTGTACCGAGCGAAGTATACATGTCTAAGGCTTATGAATGATATATTCATATGGTTCGCCAGACTGCAAGCCAACCTTGTGCAGACAATGAGTCTGCGATCTGTATATTTTGTTCAGCTATCCTTTCCACATTTTCTTAAGAGTACGAAGGACTGCCAGTTGATAGGCGCGCATATGTTATTTGGTACCTCAGAACTCGGATATTAAACCACCATCAGCACCCAGTTTACTCTGAAAGAACTCTTATGTCCGGGTAGTAACTGTAAGATAAACAGCTGCACTTCTAAAGCGTTTCCTATACTGGAACTAGGACTTAATGCCACTCTACTAGCCATACACACACCGCACTATGTGAAGGGATTTAAATTGAGCAGTTAGTAAAGCTGTATCTAGGAGTGACCCAGTGGTGATAAAGATACCCCATATACGCTGCAAACCTGCAAGATGCACATGATTCGTGAATCTGGAAATCATCGGATACAAATCAGAGGAGATAGGTACCATGGAATCAACGCCCGAAAAATATTGAATCAAATAAACCGCCGATGCAGTGTCATGATGCATGCTAGCCTATGGCAGACTAATAGGCATCTGTGGTCACCACTGTAGCAAGAAGCATGAAGTTTATTTGGATGATTATAACTTCAGTTAACGTTTATACATAGGTTTTCTGCGCGTAGGTGAATACCTCGTTCCAAATCCTCGGTTTCCTCTATTCCATAGTGGTATCTTCGGCTTAAGTTTTGTCTTCACCGCACTCGTATGACCCTTAATCTTCCTCCTCATAAGCTTACCTCTAAACATTTGGTTTGGGATACTTCATTAAGTAACTACTTGGCCAGCATGATGAACTTCTGCGTGGTATTTTTATGCTTCTGTTTCCAATTTCGCCTCCTGCTCGCTCTTGCTACTCATTTTTCAAGTCTGCCTAACCAATTTTGCATCCATATGGAGTCCTAGTAATCGCGTTTGTCAGCGCGCACCACGCCGTCCAAACTTTATGAGGGGTCCGCAGAGTTTAAGGTCATGACCGTACTACCTGCCCTACCTTCAAGAATATTCGGTGGTTCAAACAATGGCCGAATGACTCCTGACCTCGAACCGAGCTTGCTTCAGTCTGCTGAACACTCACTTTGGTGTTTGGCCATTTTATTCCTTGCTGTCTGCGAACCATTGACGTTCTTTCCCTGAACTCATCTGTTATGTGCTATGAATAACGACGTCCAATGCATTGCTTGATAATGCACATAACAGTCAGTTCACATTGCCGAAGTGATTAAACCTGTGGACAGGTTTTTTTTCATGTAGCTTGTATGGAATGAAATATGCTGCATTACTATTACTGTTATTTGTAAAGGGATTGAAAATATCCAACAAGACGCTCCATGGCTTTCAAAGAGAACCAGTTACAACCCCTAGTGATAGACCACCTTCGTTATGGCATTTGATGGTAGATGCGAGAGAATTCGGAGGCTGAGGCAGAGTATACTTTTGCATTGTACAAGTCTATCCTTTTTAAGACACAGTGGTACAGCGTTGTCTACTGGTTGATACTGCGAGAATGAAAAACACCCAATTTACACTAGGAACGTCAGGCAGTAAATGAGTGCAGCTGTTGTGTACTAGGATTCATGACCGGCTGTGTTCGTTTGCTATTCTCTCGTATAACATTCTGTATCTACCCTTTATACGGTATAGTACAAACGAATTGCTAGGAAGGGGTTAAACGTTGACTTTGGCCCGCTCAAAAAACTACGACGCTTCACAAGAAATCTGCTGATAAATAACCTTTCCTGTCCTCACGATTTTTGGATTTCAGGACAATGTAAAACAAAAAAAGTAGCAGTGACAAGAATACAAATATCTCTGATCGTGGAGAGCACATTTATGAATACCTGTCAAGTCATGACTTCTAGGGCACTCAGTCCAACCCTCAAGATTTGATGAAGTTATGCGGATAGCACACTAATTGCGTCAGAAGTGGGACGTATTCTCAGTTTTCTCCACGCACACAAACTCAGTATTAGACGGCATCAAAGTTATTTGCGAACTAAAATCGTACCAAGAAGACTTAGTTATGTAGAATAACAAAATTAGATGAAGGAAAGACCGTTGTTTAGAAAATAGCATCCGCAAGACAACGGCACATTCCGACAGATAATTAAAGTTCAGAACATCTCACCCAAAATCAATCGCAGCAGGTTTCCTGGAATGTATTAATAACAAAGCTAAAAGTCTGACTGAGGAGACTGGGGAACTTAGTAGTGAAACATGGCGGATAAAGTAAATGCTATCTAACATCCACCTTCATCGGGAGTCCATTTAGAAATTCATAATAGGAGATAACGAAAATACTGTCATCAAGGGAAGCGGGGATTACGACACTAGGAACTGTCCTGATGCGAGCCTGACAGTCGCGAAGACCAATCACTAATTGCTCGAACTTGTTATATACCCAGGAATATGAGACCAAGGAAGAACAACATAGTGTAGCTGGATGGAATAGTACATTTTGGTGGTCGTGCCGAGATACCGATGCGTTCCAACTAACTGTCTAGAGAGTCGAATACAAGCGGTGCAACGTAACACGACAGCGTGCCAAATGGAGAGGATGCTTGACCTGGTGCCTTCAGCTTAGCGAGTCCAGTTAAACTATCAGGGTCAGCATCAATGTTGAATGTCGTCGAACCCCAGGCTATTGATTTTGGGAAGTGTATACAGCTACAATACAACTGATGAGGGAATCAAGGCCCTCCTAGTGGCACCATGCAGAGGAGCTGTACAAGGAAGCAGGATGGCTGTGAGACTTGATATTTCAGAAGCAGGTTCCTGGTGAATTTTCTTGCTCAGTAACAGTGAACCAAAGTTACGGGTGAAATTCGGACGTCGCTTCGTGATTTTTGGTTATGAAACAATGCGTAAGAAAAAGCAGTACAACACGAAATCGATCTAGACCCATTTCATAAGAATACTGTTGCTTGCTGATATCCTGCTTGCCTAGATTAATGTGTAACACTGATCATTCAACTATACCTTCTATACCTTCCTATTTGTTTCTACATACTTCGGAAACTATTTACCCCACTAACAAAAACGTGCATCGACTTTTGAACATAATCCATCATCATTGCATCCCATCAGAAACAAACGCACTGACAATGAACAAAAGTGCAATATGTATACGACTGTACGTCTTTTGAAAATAAATTCGTCGAAAAGGATTTCCTTCCCTAAACTATTTGTACTATGAAATGATAAATGTCGAACACGTTTCAAAACAGAGGAAACAGAAATAACATCCATAGAAATATTGGAAAAAATGTGTATGTGAACAGAAAATTGCACGTAATAACAAGCTTAGTTTCGTAAGTTTATATTGTTTGAACTAACCAATGAGTACAGTTCTTATGGCGCAGTAGTCTACCTATGTCAAATGAACTCTCGTCAGTGGATTGCTCGGATTCTCAGTTCTTAGTGTCTTCGGAGAATAATTCAGGATTTAATATTTGTGACTCGAAAGATGCTGGCTCACCAAGAAGATGTACCGCCCGATTTCAGAGGCCAACAGCCTGTAATTTGCTTAAAGTTATATCCAATGGTTTTAGTATTGAGCGATAGGCACCGATCGGAATCTCCAGCTACTCGTTCAAAGAGTCGACAAAACGATGTGGGTGCTAATCACAATCAAAATCACGATAGGTTCGTAGCTTGTTTTGAGTTTTCACTCTGTTTAGGTATGACTTCGAGTCATTGCAAAGAGAAATTGCTAAAAGGAATGGAGTTCTCACATTCGGAAACAAAGTACTCAACGTTTGTTTCAAATGACCCTTTAGGTTTTGCATGCAAAAACGGATGATTTCGTAAACGAAGGCTGTTTAGGTTCTGGAACGTGTAGTTCTGTATATAAAATGAGGCATCGTTCCAAAACTAACATAGTAATGGCCGTCAAGCAAATGCGCGTGTCATCTACATATGAAGAAGAGAACAAGCGTATAATGATGGATTTAAACATTGTTACCAAAAGTTTCGATTGTGCTCACATTGTTGAGTGCTATGGTATTTTTTTCTCTGGGGTTGGTTAATTTCTCTCTTTGAATAACGTGTTAGGGAGACGTTTGGATATGCATGGAAGTTATGTCAACTTGTTTAGACAAGCTCTACCATGATCTTCATCGCCCGTTTCCTGAAAGAGTGTTGGGGAAGGTGACTGTTGCTGTAAGTTTGATTTACAATGTCTTATGCTTTCTGAAGATTACCACTGCTCTGGATTATTTGAAAAGGAAACATAATGTAATGCACAGAGGTAATGATGAAATTCCACTAGGTTGTAGACGTCAAACCGTCTAATATGCTTTTAAGTTACCAGGGTGTTATCAAACTATGTGATTTTGGAATAAGTGGGATATTGAAAGATTCAATCGCTCGTTCAAGGCAACCAGGATGCACTGGATATATGGCCCCAGAACGCCTTAACAATTCAACCTATGACGTTCGTGCAGACATATGGTCTCTTGGTATATCGTTACTGGAGCTAGCGACGGGATCGTTTCCTTATACTGGAACTCAGATTGAGTTTGCTATTATGACCAAAATAATTTCAGATCCAGCACCATCGTTACCACACCACATACCTTTTACACCCGCTTTCCGGCAGTTTGTTGAGTTATGGTAAGTTTGCCTTTTCACTTTTCAGTGTGTGAATTCGGTACTAATAAGTATGAATCATTACACATGGTATACCAGCAAAGTTTAGTAGGGTATAGCTTCATCAACTGTTTGGCATACGAAGCTTTCAGTAAAACCTAGCACTGCCTTACTTTATCAAGTATTTCCTGGACGTTTCATGAAAGTAGTAATTACGAGATGGCAATGTTTCTGGATGTCACATTCTCCGTATCAGTACATGCAGATATTCCTAGTCCGAGTAGCAGCTCACGTATCCAAGTGTAAGTAGGTAATCTGTTGATTAACACTTTTAGATCCCATCCTCTTACTACGGTTTGTGCAAGCAGATGGTCAGCGGTTCTTATGTAAAGGGTGTAAGAACCTAGTTTTTACGTCGTTTTTAATTTGCATCGTTTTAGATAGTTGTGCGAGAATTCTGTTATTTAAGCCATTACTACGCAGAAACTGTGGCACATATATTGTGGTAGCGAATTTGCTGGTGCAAACTTGTATTAGATTTCGAGTGTTCACTCGGTTTTTACTGAGCGAGTTAATGTCTTATTACGATAGTTCTAGTCAAGTGGTTCCTGACGAACTGAAACGATACCGAAAATACTCGCTCAGAATCCTCCAACCTTTGCCACATATAGTGCCTACAGGACATGAACCTACCTATCAGGGTGCATTACACAAAAGCCTTTTCAGTTCTGATGTACAGCTCAGATAAGAACTCAAAACCTGGATGATATCACGGAGTTGCAAATTTCCAACTATAAATTCCTTCGAAGCATTGTTGAAGCATAATGGAAAAGTGGATTGAGCAATTTTGAGTTAAGATAGAATAGTAGACAAGGAAGGTAGGTCATTCGATGGGTTTATGGTCTTGCACTTACAGTTGTACTTCGGACATGTGTTACGCAGGATGAACGACCATTCATCTTGGCGTAGAATGTTCGTTAATATAAGATTAGACTGGTAAAGGTATTGCGACAAGTGATTTCCTGTCTGATTTTTGTAGAATATCAGGTTGACCATGTTTATTCATTGTATAATAGCAGGTGTAGTGCTATACAGCATTCCATGACCCTTCATAGTTGTTTGAATATCCCACTGGTAACACTTGTGGCTAAGGTTGTCAAAAAGTCAACAGACTCATATCAAACTCTCATCAACAGCCAGGAAAACAAGACTGATATGAGTCCGCCAATGAAGCAGCCAATGCTTCCGATGAATTTCATTTTGCATTGTCGGACTCAGTATCTAACAGACCAATCATGAAGCAACAATTTTCATGTGGTTAATGAGAAACGCTGTCATGAGCATTCTCAAATTATCACTGCATCTAGAAGAATTTATCTTGCTGGCTTCTTAATAAGCACATTCATTCTTCCCGTACCTTTAGACATCTGACAAATCTCCTCAAGGGTGGTAGATTCCTGTAGTTAGGTCAACAAAAGGACATCCTGGCGCGGTGTTAGTCGACGTAAGTCTAGACTAAAAAAGGTCAAAAATAGCTACACTTTAACATGACATCAGTTCATCAAGTCTCTAACTGTTAGTTTGAGCAGTGTAAAGGAATATAGACTTCTACGTTAGGATCCCCGTGCTTATGGAAGTCAATGGGATATTACTCAGTCAATCATAGTGGTACATATGCATCCATACATTATCTTGATTGTAGTTGTGATGCGACGTATTGTAGTTTACTTAATCTTCTTTCTTCGTCTTGTGACTTAATGCTGTCTTGATTACATTTTTGTGTCATATCTTGATGTGCTGATACAAGGAATTGCAACCTGGACCCTTAATCAATAGTAGCAGGTTCTATGTTATTGGCCGACTGATTAAAGAAGGACTCCACTATTAAATACGTGGAAATTTTATCTTTGGTTCTAGTCCATCAGTCGTCACCGCTTTCTTTTCAGGTTTTTTAATTTCAAGTTTCTAAAAGTTTAAGCCCCTGTCATTATTATATTCGGGACGCAGCTGGATAGCAAGCAACTGAAAAAAATTATTTAGACTACCTTAATATCCAAATCATCATTTCAGTAATCTCTGTGAACGGATTACTGATTTGTCTTTCTCATCGTTAACGTTTTTACTTTAGCTTTTCTAATAAGTCTGAACTCTTTGTCACCTGGGCTTAAATTTGTTATGCATGCCCAGCCACATCTTACCTCGGTGTGCCATGTTAGCAGAAGTAGGATTGCTTTATGATAAGGCTGAAGGTGATCAAACGAAGACATGGTGCCAGCTCATGAAGTTTCTGATTATTGTTGTGAGCTATTTAAGGAGATGAAGACTGATGGGCTTCCATTCTCCAGATAGAAGTCAGTGGTTGCAGATTCCTGGTAATATGGATGAAAATCGGTTACAATGGTGTAGATGTATCAACTCTATGAAGGTTCAAAACCTCATCAATTGACTTGGCTGTTCTACCGAAAACACTACTCTTGAATTCTATTTCGGAGTTGGTGACACCACTACATACGGCCTACGATACGAAGGCAACAATAGTCGAGCATTTGAAGCCTTCTTATACCCTCTACCGTTTAGTGGCTGTTTCACAGTCAATGCAGTAGAACACAGCGAACTGCAGTACAGTACACAGCCCTGAATTGGCAGTTGGATATCATGGCGCAACCACAGTTAGCTTAAGTTGGCGAATAGCAGACGAGCCTTTAAAATTCGTGTAGAGATTTCACTAGTAACCATCTTATCACGGTTGATCTAACTTCCTACGTAAGTTAAATACTTAACGCGGTCAACCATTTCGCTTCCTGACGTTAAACGAGGCACCACCTAAGATCAGCTCTAGAGTAACAATTTGCTTTTATCTGACGCATCCAAAAGTCTCAAGATACCACTCAAGGTGTCCAAAAGATTCTGCATCTTGTCAGCATTCGTTCTTAAAAGAAATATGTAATCTGCATACTCTAGGTCTACTGAGGATTCTACCGTGACAGGATCAATTCCTTTAAATTTGAGTGACGAAAGAGACCTCCATAAGTACATATATGATGGGACTAAATGAGAATGCAGTGAGTGGACATCCTTGATGGACGCCACTGGACATAAACGATTCACCCAATCACTCACCATAGGCTCTAACGTACCCTTAGGTGTTCGAGTACGCTGCATTCATCCGAGTGATGTACTTACCCAGTACCGATTTCAGTGAGATACATTGCCGATCGATGGAGTCGAGTGTCACCTTCAGGTTGAGAAATACAGTAAGTGTCGGTCGTCAGTATGTATGTGTTCAAGAACCTGGTGGCAGGTTGATATGTCTGCTCAATACATCCCTGTCTGGTTTTCTCGAGTTTTCTGTTCCCAAGCCCCACTCAAATGTTTAGTGATTATGGAACCTTCGTCAGGTTAATTCCCCTGTGGTTATTGCAAGAGAATTTCCCATCTTTCTTGAAGACTGGGACAATCATTAGCTAAGACCAGTCGGAGGAATCATATCTGACTCTCTTCATTTAACTTGACCAGTAATTCTCAACCACCATCCTAGAATAGCCTTGGATACTAGTCCGTCTACTGGTCTTCCTCATTTAAGATTAATTACCGCTTTTTTGACTTCTGGAAGTGTTAGAGGCCCGATATCAATGTTGCATTATAATATCCAACTGGACACAGAATCAACATAGAACCTTGCAAACAACTGCGTCGGTTCAAGTTGCTACACCTCACAGTAGTATACAAAGGACGGGTGGATAGAAAAAGAGTGATATCAGGGTAGAGAAAGTTGCGTGAGAAAATAAACAATCTGACGATAATAGTTAGTTTAAGTTTTCATACTTTATAAGCTGTCAAAGACTGAATATATCTGCTCCATTATGACTGATTTTTAGCCATGTCACCAACAGTCCTCAACCACTGGTTGTCTTCGTCTCATCGACCCTAACCAAGTAGTCTACACCTGTAGAAAACGTCAAGTAGTGAAAAAGTTTGTGACACTGTGATCGATTTTCATCCATTTCATCAAGTCCTCAATCACTTGTCCTTATCCTCTCAAGGACACCGGCCAGGCAGTCTACACCTCCCCCAAATGTCTGACCGACGGTCACGGACCTAATGCATTGGTGCTGCATCTTGCTGTGACCACGCTGAACCCTTTTCCAATTCAGTTCAACTTCTCATAGCAACACATCGAGGTGGGTGGTGGCTTGGCGTGCGCAGCACATGTCCAAGTTAACAAATGCCAGACGGGCCTTTTGTATTCAAGCTAAGATTCCGTCAGTGACCAGTCCGTTTGACCAGCTGATGCAACTCCTAAAGCAAGTGAAGAGGTCGACACATTCCACCACTTTACTCCTTATCCTTAAAACAGGAGTAGTTGCAGACAAATCTTGGAGCATCATTCTATATTTGACAGGTGCGAAACGCATGCCAATCGTACTCAGATTTCCGCGTTCCAAAGACTGCATTTTATCAGCGTCTTCACCTAGCAGGATGATAACGTCTGCATACTCTAAGTCAACCAGATGGCCTCCAACGAGTAGGTCAATTTCTGTGAATTCAGACGTACCTAAGGTAATGTCCATTAGTACATTTAAGTTGGAGTTAAATAGGAGCTATGAAAACTTTCCATTAGCCCTCACAAAGCTGCATGAGTTCGAGTAGAGAGCTGTGATAAGCATTATATGCATGCTTGGTACTTCTTTCACAGTCGAATACTGCCAAAACACCCCACGGTCGACGGTCAAACGCAGCCTTCAGGCCAAGAAATATGACAAGTGTAGGGTACTGGGCGGTAAGTATACCTTTGTTATAGAACTTGTCGTAGGATGAAAATATTATCATCCGGTTCCGAAACCTGCCTAGTTTTCTCGAGTTTGTTGTTCTTGAGCTGCAGTTACGCGTCAGATAACCACGGCCCCTAGGATCTGGGACACAGTATTAGTCAAATTAATCCCCCTATGGTTGTCACAGGAAAACTTCTCCCCTTATGCATTGAGATGATCAGTATAGTAGACTAGTTTAACGGCACTGCCTTT